CCAATAATAATAATTATATTATATATAATTAATATTTATTTGTATATATACTTACTTTTATAATTAACAGTCTACTTATTTCTATTTCAAATTACTATTATGAGACAATTTAAATTATTTCTTATAAATTTAAAAGTTTAAATAAAAATTTATATATTTTAACATATTATTTTTATAATTTATAATGACAATATAATTTATAAATTATAAATATTTATTTATTACATACTTATAAACTAAATTTTAATATTTTAAATAAATTATTAATTAACTTAATATATTTACTTATCTTAAATCTAAGATATATAAAATTTAAAAAATGTATTTATCCCTATATATAATTTACTAGTCTTTTTTAGATAAAAATTTATTAGAATATATGTATATATATATATATATATATATAGAGAGAGAGAGAGAGAGAGAGATTTAAAATTTTATTAATCTTTTTTAATATATGATTTTCAATTTTAATCATCTTTATTGTTACTGAACGAAATAATAAACATTTTCGATGAATACAATTTCCAATAGATTATTAAACATTTTTTATAGATCAAATTTTTGACAAACAATTATCCGTTAGTAACATTCCATCGAAAATTTTTGACTTAAGCATCTGTCAAAAATTTTCGTAAGAAATTCTTACATTTTCGAGAAATATAAATTTCTAAAAAATATTATGTCGCTAATATAACTTTTTCTACGAGTTTTTTCCATCATAAATATAAATCTTTCGACAGATTTTTATCTGTTAGAAATTACCGATGGATATATATATATGTCGAAAATATAATTTTTTTGATACATTTGTATCCGTCAGAAATTAATCATCGAAAAAATAAATTTTCTGATAGATTTGTATCCGTAAAATATTATATGTCGGTAAAATTCTTGGAGATATAAATTTTCTGACATATTTGTATTCGTTGGTAATATAACTTTTCCTACGATTTTTTTTTCTGTCGAAAATATAAATTTTTCGACAAATTTATATCTGTCGAAAACTATTCGTCGATAATTTACATTTTTCTTGTAGTGTTCATAAGAAAGTATAAGGTATTAAAATCCTCTATATATATATCGTAATTTATCCTTAAATATAAATTAGTGAGAAAAAAATGTAACATACAACACCAGGATATAATTTTCTTTGAAAAAGTGGGCACCAAAAAGGGATATCCCTTTTTATATATTGTTATAGGTCATCATTATTTTAAATAACTTTGAGATATTTTAATTATATATTATAATACTTTTTTATTATATTTAGTTGTAATACATATAAAAGTTGATTATTACAATTTTCTTTTTTCTATATTTTTTAATAAAATTTACCTCTAATTTAGTGTAAATATTTATTATAGTTATTTTTAATTTTTTGTAACGTGGTGTGAGTTGTGTCCTTTTTTATATATTGCATGTTATATGATGCTTTTAGAACTCTAAAGATTATGAAATTTTTATGAGTTTAGCTGTATATAATTGTTTAGTGTTGAGGTTAAAGTTGACCAAAAATAAAAAAAGGTATACAAGGTTTTCAAGAAACTTGAGCTTCATAAATTCATTTTTCCAAGGTTTAGAGAGATGGACTCTGAAGCTAAAAGATATTTTTCCTTCTTCTGAATTTATAAGAGTGTTCAAATCCTTCCCTAAACTAGTTTATGTTGTGCTTGAGTAGAGATTTAAAGTTGAGGAGTAAAGGGTCAGAGACAGAAGTCGACATAGGAGACTTAGAAGTTTCTCAGGTTTTCTTTCCTTGTTTCTAGGAGCAATTGTGGTAAGGAAAGTTGGTAGATAATTTTTTTGTGTGTGTGTTTCATAGGTTGATTAGTGCATTGTTTGGCTCATTAGTGGCTTTAGTATTGAATTGAGAAGTGAAAACCCAAATGCTTTAGGTTTTATTGGTTCTTATGTTGTTTTGAAGAATGAATGATGATCTTGGATCTTGTTGTTAATGCATGTGGTTTTCTTTTGAATTTTGTATCAAATGTGTAAATGTTATAATGAAGGTTGCATGTTGGATTTATGTTGAGTGATTGTTGGATTTTATGAGAGATGATGTTTCTCCATTGGTTAAAACCTTGTTCTCTACCATCAAAATGATAAGATGCCTAGTGCGTGTTCATGAGCTGAAGAATAGTTGCCCAGAATCATGACCTTGCTTAGTGATGAAGCATCGCCTAGAAATAAAATGATAAAATTTGTAGGCTCACCCAATGAGCTATAGTTGCTTAGCGAGAGCAATCATAAGGGGTTTTGTCCACTTAGTAAGCTCTTGGCCGCCCAGCGACAAGCTTTAAAGGAGTTTGGCCACCCAATGATCCAAAAGTACACCCAACAACAAAAGTCACTAAGTGTTTCCTACGTTGAGGGAGAGTAATCTCACCCATGGAGAAGCTCCAAAGAGCTCAGCTCACCCGACAAGAGCCTTATTTCATGAGTTTTTGTGATTAATGCTTTTGCATACTATTTTAAGATGATAAGTTGAAATATTATGAAAATTAATATAATATGTTGTTTACGATTGATGAATCATGTATTAGAAATTTGAAATGAAGTATATTAAGTTGTTTTAAGTTGATTTGGATAATATTTCAAGAGTTGTATAAACTATGTTGAATAACTAGAAGAGTTGTGTTACGTTCAGTTGTGATGAGATGTGTATGATGGATATGGTTGAGTTGTGTTGTGAAATTATGATTAGAGAAGAGAATGTTATTGAATGTTGAAATATCCAAACGTGTGGATATGTGTTGTGATGTTCTAATAACCCAATGTTGAAATCTCTTCTTAAGATAACTAACTTTTGAAGTGAAGTGTTGTGTCTCTTCTAAGTCCTTAGTTAATAATGTGCAGGACAAGGTCGAGACATACTGGTTTAGAAGTGACCAAATTGAGTGAGGTATGAAGTTGAGAGGTAAAATTCTTATTTGGTTACTAGAAAGGTGCAAAGTATTTGGAAGGTAACCGATACGTTAATTTTATATAGGCTTAGTTGATGCATATTAATGTCATAGTGGACACACACCCAAGTTGTTCTATTTTTGACAATAGCACTAGACTTTTGTAGTTTAAGTGACAATTCAAGAAATCATTTTTTCTTTGAAAATGGATTGATATCCAAAAGTTATGTTGTATGACCTAAAAATGAAAGGCCTTGTTGTGTTGTTGATTTGATTATGTTAAGTTACTTAAATTGTTCACCACTATTATAAGAGATATCTTAGTGGAAAATATGCTACAACGCATAAATATATGTTGTGTCGTGAAGATGATGTGTTGTAAATATGTTGTGTTATTAATTTGTATGTTGGGATATGAAATGATTGATCTTACATGATTTATTAATTATTTGTGTTGATCTTGTGTTGTTAAGTTGAGCTTATGCTTGGTGTGTATTTGAGATGAAGTTGTTTATATAGTTAATTAGTTGATGACTTCTATATTATATGTTATTTTTCTTGTATACAAGTTTACCCTTACTTTTTCATGTTATTGAACTAGGATGATCATATTATTATGAGAGTAGGTCAGGATTAGGCTGGAGTGCAAGTAGATGTTAGGCCATGCAGGAGATGATGTGTTTTGGTGGAGGTTGTTCTAATACAACTAGTTATTGCTTGATTAACAACTTAGGATTTTTTATTGCTTTCTAGTTTTAGATCTTGTAAATACATGTATAGGATTGTGTTGTAATCCCATTCAACGAAGGACTTTATCTTTTAAGATATTAAGAATGCAGGGATTGTTTTAAATTTTCTACTCTTGTACATATATTATTGTATGAATGTCCAAGTGTTGTATGCACGAGAATCCTAAGTTAAATGATGTTTATATTTTTGGTTATTTAGTAGTTGTGTTGCAATTAGTGTAATGACCTACTAAGTTATTATAATTTTGTATATTAATTTTATGTGCAGTTGCATTGGCCTTTTTCCCAAATACTATTTTAATATTATTACATGATAATTTTTATTTAGTCTTTATAATATTTTATTATATAATTCTTTTTCATGACTTTTCACAATAATAATACATTTCTAATGTCATTTAACATATATAAATATTAATTTTATTATTTATAATTTATGTAATACTTCTTTAATATTTTATTTTATATGAAAACATGTTCTAAATTTAAGAAATTAAAATTTCATCAAAGAAAAAAATCAACAATAATTAAAATAATGCCGGTAAAAGTTACATATTGATTGTTTTTTTTTTTTTTTTTTTTTTTTGTTTGGATGAGGAATGTGATGTCTCGAACCAACAAATTAACCATTGCACCAAGTTATAGACAGACCATTGTCTCTTTTATATTATAAATGTATTTATAGTTTGTTGAATAGAATGAATAAATTTCCGTCATTAATTAGCAACAAAATTAACCGTCAAAGCTAACCAATGCATGTTAGAATGCACCTATAACAAACATTTATATATGAAGACAGAACGTATGTACATAAATGCACTGTGACATAAAACAAATGATTCAATTCACAAGGAGATGAACCAAAAACTAATTCAATAGAAAGCTAACAACAAAGAAAGCTTCTATAAAGGATACAATATATGAAACAAAATTCTCAATGATGTAAATCTATCATGGTGTCAATAGAAGCTGCACACATTCTATGGACACGTTGTACGCGAATCTTACCATTAAGTATGATAAATTTAATTTTAATTTATGGTGTAATAAATAAAAAAAATATTTAATGGATATGTGATTCCAGGTTTAACATATTACCACAAAATCAGTCTCAATACTCCATCATTCTGGTTAGTTCAAATATATTCCGAGTGGAGTTATTATATTTTTATATACGTGTGGTTCGAAACACATCTAGCATCTATGTATTTCATTATATTAAAATTTAATATATAAAAATTAAGAGAAAAAATTAAAATAAGAAAGGTAATGAGTTTTATACGTATTATATATAACAAGTTGTTCCTGCTTAGAAACACTTCCTTTGCTATACCTTCTTCGTGATCTTCTAAGTCTTCGGTGCCGACCAAGTACTATCCTCAGAGTGGGGAGGGTACCTGCAAAGGCACTCCGACGCTCAAGTAAGTATTCAGTGCAGAGCAATAAAGGCTTTTATACTAGACAATCATACCTACCTTTTTTGTCCCATCACCTGTGTATTTATGGTGACACATATTAGGATCCACTGTACACCATCAAGTCATGGGAGATGATATGGTTAGGGTTTCAGTGTTGGATGTGAGACAACCAGAGGCTAGAGTTCCTATGCCCACAGAGGAGGTTCAGACAATGGGACAAGCCTTGAACACCTTCCTTCAGTGGCCTTATAAGTTAGTAAAGGTGATATCTACGAAGGTATGTTATTTAAATAATATTTAATTTTAAGTTGGTGTAATTTTATTATAATATTGTATAATATTAGCTTTGTACTTTGTGGAGTAGGATATTGTTACCTCACCAAAGGGTAAAGGGACGGTCATTGTTACCCCTTCTAGAAATCTTCCTCCAATAAAAAGGCTATGGAGATTAGTTGCAGATATGGAAGATGACGAGCAACCCAAACAACTCCCTTGGCCTCCTGAAGTGTTTAACATGTCTAGTAAAGTACCTCTATATATAAGTCAGAGTGATATATCAGAGATTACAAATGGTCATTGTATGCTAAACATATCAATTTTGCAGTTATGGTTGTTGTAAGTATTTAAATTATTTTTAATTATATTTTGTTGATTTTTTCTAACATTGTTTCTAACATTGTTTCTAACATTGTAGATTTATCCATAAATTGAGCATGGATAAGGGAAATGATCACATATATGGATTTTTGGAGCCTGAGTCAATCCAAAAAAGTGGAAACAAAGTCGAAGAAATACAAGCTTACATTCAAAATTGGATGTTCGACTCAAATAAAAAAGTTTACTTGGCCCCTTATTTTTCTGAGTAAGTTTAATTTTATATAATTAAATATAATTTTTTATAAAA